GAGGCTAGAGAAAGTGACTGTTAGGCCCTGCCCTGAAGTGGACTGGAACCCCCAGAGCAGTGGCTCCAAGCTCTTGAAATCACACACCTGTGGCAGGAAAATGTTTGAGGATATACTCCTAATGTGTGTCTACTTACCTCAAAGTGGTATATGTGTACTTCTGTGTACTATGTACATTATAAACACATATCAAAAATTTTAAATGATTTATATAATTTTAAAGGATGGAAGAAAAAACAATTATAAATTTGTTTTTAATCTTATTTTATCCAAGGTATATATGTGATTAAATATGTTCTTTTTGAAAAAAATCTTGGCTTATCACTTTCCGGTACAGTAATTCCAAGTATGTCCTAGGAGTATGTATTTTAGTACTTCATTTCAATAGTGTCTCTTGCTGGCAGAGCTCCTCACAAAGAAAGGTAGATTCAGATGGAACATTAGCATCTTTGTGCTTATGAAAATCATGAATCCTGTTTTCCAGCTTATCTGCTTCCCGATTTCCAGGTATATGCTGAACTTCACAGGCGCTCTTGCAAACTTTCAGAGAAGTGTTTTTAATTTAACAAGGCTTCAAACCCCTCTGAAATTCATTGTTTGGAATGCTTTTAAACAGATTAGGAAATTCTTTTACAATTCCTAAAATTGTACAAATATAGCAGTACAGTGTGGAGATATATGAGATTTTCAGAGATGGCTTAGTATTTTGAAACTTTTGTTGGCTTTTTAAATATTTATTTGTGATTGTACATGGTAAGATTCACTCTTTGGCAGATAACCCTAAGAGTTCTGACAAACACATAGTCTTGTAACCGCCCCCATGATCAAGAAAACAGAACAGTTCCCTCTGTATTTGAGCTCCCTTCTTACCCATGACCTTGGCAGCCGCTGATCTTTATTCTTAACCTAGTGCATGTCCAATTCATCCATGTTGTTAAGTGTATTAATTGTTTATCCCTTTGTATGACAGAGTACTGTTACATGGATATATCAGTTGTTTATCCATTCACCAGTTGAGGGACATTTAGGTTGTTTCCAGTTTTGGACAATTATGAATAAAGCTGCTAAAAACATTCTCATACAGGTTTTATGTGAACATAGGTTTTCATTTCACTTGGGTAAATGAAACTGCCAAACTCGTTCTTGTTCAAAGTGCTGTGCTGTTAAGAGTCCCAGTTGCTACACGTTCTTGATAGCAGTTTTATCTGTTAAAAAGAAAATTTTAGCCATTCTCCTACATGTGCAGTGATACCTCATTCTGTTTTTAATTTGGATTTCCCGTAATGACTAGTGATGTCAAATGTCTTTTCATGTGCCTATCTTGCATCTGTTTATCTTCGATGAAGTCTGTTCAAATCTGTTGCCCATTTAAAACATTTTTTCTTCTTGTTGAGTTTTGAGAGTTCTTTATCTATTTAATATACAAGTCCTTTGTCAAATAAGTTATTTGCAGACATCTTCTCCCAGTCTGTGGCTTATCTTTTCATTCTCTTAACAGTGTCTTTTTCAGAGCAAAAGTTAAAATTTTCATGAAGTCCAATTTAGCAGTTTTTTTCTTTTAAAAATTGTGTTTTTGGTGTAGTATCCAAGAAATCTTTTCTAACACAAAGTCCTAAAGATTTTTCTCCTGTACTTTCTTCTAAATATCATCCATCTTGAATTAATTTTTCCACAAGGATATCACTTTTAAACCACAAAGATTATATAAAATGAAAACATTGCCAAATATGAGTTCTTTCCATAACACAAGTTCCTTTTGAAAAGGAGTTACATTCCCATTCTCTGTTAAAATGGCACCTTTTACTTTGAAAGGACAGATTTAGTGTGTTTATTTTTTGGAAAATATTGCAAAGTAGCATATTATCCCAGCTACTTTTTACCACAAAGACCAGCTAGTTTGGAATGCTCCTCTTTTTGTAAAATAAAAATGTATAATTTATCTTTACATTGTTAAGTGCTTTGATGTAATGGGCCTCTTTGTGGTACTCTAGACCATTATAAAAAAAATGGCAAGGATCTTCCTATTTAAAGATCCTGTTTTTATGAGATCAGCTCCATTATTGACGTATTAGATCACAGAAACAACAGTGTTCAGCCTACATTGAAAGTAAAGGCAGAAGAAGGGTACTACTGTCACCTCCCCCTGCCACCCCCCCACATGCCACACACACACACAGCCCCAGATGTTCTCCTGGGTGACTGTACACAAGTGACACACTACCCCAGGGAAGATCCCAGTGGCAGTCCATAGACTGTTTAGTGAAGCTTTTTTTTCCTTTAAAGGTAAAAATAAATAAATTTCTTGTATTTTCTCCGTACTTGGAGGATTGTCTTACATACATTCAGGGGATACCACTGCCCTGAAAAGTCTTACAGTGCTTGCCCCTCTCCCTGCTTTCCCAGTTGTGCCTAGGAGAGAGATGATCTGCTGAGTGTCTGAGAAATAGATGTCTTCCTGTTATAAATGTTGATGCTCTGTTATGTCGTTATCATTTTCCTGTCTGCTTTCTTCTAAAATTTGTTTTCTCATAGCCACCTACTTCTGTGCGTTGAACTTGAAGATACTGACAGATGTTTCTTAGAGGATAGTGCTCCTGATACCTGTGATGTAGGACCATGGAATCATAAGAGAATATAATTTTGGAGCTGGAAGGGAACTTGTAGGTCAACTAGTCGAAATCCAGTACTAAAATCAAACCAAAAATAAGGTCTAATAGATCCACAGAATGGAATATGACTCAGCAATAAAAAGGGCATGAACTACTAATACATGTAGCAACATGGATGAAGCTCAGAAGAATCATGCTGTGTGAAAGAAGCCAGACAAAAAGCACTACATCCTGTATGATTCCATTTATAAAAAATTACAGAAAATAGAAACTGTAGTGACAGTAAGCAATGGCTGCCTGTGGATGAGTGGGAAGGGGGTGACGAAGGGAGGGGCCTGAGGAAACTTCTTGGTTGTGACAGTTGATAATCTTGATTGTGGTGAGGGTTTCACAGGTATGTAGAGATCTCAAAACTCATCAAGTAGCACACTTTAAATATGTACAGTTTATTATATGTCAGTTTACATCAATAAAGCCATTTAAGGGGAAAGGAAACCAGAGGTGGTGCACTTGTGGAATAACTATTTAGTAAGTGCCTATTGTATGCCAGGTTTACGTGCTCTGTGTTGGGGATTGAGAGAGTAAGTGAGACATGGCCATGCCTTCAGCGAGCTCCCCATCTAGCAAGAGATGAGACAGTAAGCAATGTAAGTCCAGTATGCTAAGTGCTAGGAAAAAGGAACAGACAGGCAACAAGAGGGTCCAGAACACAGTGCCAACAGGTGCCTCTTCTTGGGGAGGTCAGGGAAACCCTGACGAAAGGGAGGCAGCTGAGTTGAGGCTCAGGACTGGTTGGGTGGAAGGGCCTCCCCGTCTGAGGGGACGTCTGGGCAAAGTTGGTGAAAGCCATGTTCTAAAAACCACGTGCAGTTCAGCCTGACGAGAGCAGAGGACACAGTGGGGCAACTACAAGAGAAGAGACCGCGGAGGCTGGTGGGCCAGTTCATGATGCTCTTGCCACCCGTGGCGGTGCTTGGGGCTGGTGTCTGGTGCTCCAAGGCTGAACCAACAGGCTGGCCGAGTCTGCGGCCTGCATCCTGGGACATCATCTCATCCAGACACTTGGCACGGACCTCCAGCTTCCAGGTTTCGAGGCTGCGACATGCATATTCATGCTCAGTTCTAGTCTGGGTGCTCCTATGTTCTCCAGAAGCCAAAGGGAAAAGCCAGTTTAGGTCCAAGCAGCAGTGGGGAACATCTGCGCGTGAGCATGCCCAGGAGTGAAGGATTCTGGAGCATTTGCATGTCGGAAGCAACCAACACTAGCTGTTCCAAAAGCAGTTTTTCTACAAGTCAAGAATTTTGCCTCTCTCCCTGGCTGGTGGCACAGACCCCTAAAACCCTGTGCTTTGGACAGTGACTGTCTTGTGTACAGTGATCTGTGTCCTGTCTGGTTCTCCCCAACTCCTGGTCATTCATTAACCAACCAGTCACCACAGGATCTCTCCAGTCATCGTGTAACAGAGGTCAGGGGAGAGTCCCTTGTTTGCTTCCTTGTTAGAGTGGTTTTCAGAGCAGACTGGGATGTTTAATTCAGGGTATGATTGTCAGACCACATTAAAAATGCAGGCAGCAGTGCAGAACATGGTCGGCTCATGTCAGCCAGACATTTCTGTGTAACCAGAGGAGGAAAGCATGGACAGGGCCTGTGTTAATGGAGTAGACACCCAGCTGCATGGTAAGCTCCAGCTCCTGCTTCTCCTCTTGATTGCCACCCTCTAGCTGGAAGAAAGCAGCTCATCTTTAGGCTGTTAGTTGAAATGGAATTTGCTGCTTAAGCAGCATTCCTTTGATCTGGAGACCGAGTTGCTTACACCTCCCAAGCAGAGCTCTAGTGCTCCCATTCAGGGGGACTGTAGCTGCCGTGGCCATTGGGATCTATCAGTCAAAACAAGTGAGAAGCAGGGGTTTGGTGGTTTATTCTTGCATTGGGGATTCCATGCTGTCTTCTGGAGAGTTGGACCAAGAGGGCAAGCATAGATGCTCTGACTGGTTTCCGACTTGAGGGAAGCTGAGGCCAGCACAGACGGCTAAAATCAAGCGGGTAGAGGAAAGGCTGATGGGGATTAATTATCCCAAGTGGGTTATTTATATCAGCCAATGTCAGGAGGGAAGGAGTTTTTAATGATATTGTTGGGTTTGGGTTTTTTATATCTGCTCACCTGGGCTAGAGGAAATAGGCCAAGAATGGTCTGGTCTGAGCTCTGTGGCTGTTTATTCTGCCTTCCCCATCCCACCGTGCTGTTTGCCAGCTGGACTGTTAACTGGACCAGTGCTCCCTTTTTGCTGTGTCAGTCCTAGAAAGTCATGGTTATTGTAATTTGGGGCTGGTTTCCCAGATGGGTGGGTGAACTGGGTATCTAACTTTGAATTTGTTTTCTTGCATTTCAGTTGTTCCAAGGAAGTCAAGGACGAGCATACCTCTTTAACTCCGTGTGAGTGTCTGAATGTACATCCATTGTCTGGTGCACATTTTGAGGGGTGGTGAAAGAGCAACCCTTAAACCATGGACCCTGCTCTCTCTGCCACAGTAAAAACCCTATGCAACATTACTCTCTGCAGTTAGCAGCCAGGAGTCTTTGGGGCACTTGGGGGATAGCATCTTTGGCTAAAAATAATATATTCATTCCCTGAAGTAGGCACAGCAGAGGGCTGTAGTCTCATAGGGAAGGAGCTGAAGTGCTTCTGAAAGAGCCTCAACATTGGGCCTCATAACCTGGTCTGAGATGTGTCACTGGGGAAGAGAAAAGGTGAACAAATGACACCGTGATCTGTAGCAGGAGCTCAGGCTGGAGGACAGGCCCGGGTAGTGGAATCTCCGTCTTCCACTGCAGCCATGGCCAGCCTGGCCCTCAGTATCACTCACGTCAATTTATAGCCTCTTGCCTGGGAAAGCCTGATGGACTGTGAAAATGGAAGTCTAGCGTGTCCAGCCTAAGATAGTTCGTGATCTGGGAAGGAGGATAGTGTATTTGATACCCAGGCTCACTCATCCTCGTGATCAGGACAAGACCATGCCGCTGTGTTGGACATCATCACGTTGGGCATCTTTGGCTGCATCCAGATTGTAAGGACCTGTGCCTGTGGCTGTCAGTTCATCCCCTTAAGTAGCCCAAGATAAGAAGCATTATTAGGAAAATTCCAAGCAATGTCTCAACCATGAAGATGGCTTTTCATAGACTCACTGAATCAGAACTTGCAGGTCTTAAATTCATTTTAACTGAGATGTTTCCCCGTGGCTCCTTTTTGTGGGTGGTTATTGCTTTCGGTTATAAACGATGCTCTTTGTAGTGCTGGCTTCCCTTGAGGCAACCGTGCTCAGTTATTTTTTGCTGGGCGCCCAGCTTGAACAGCTGATGATGGACATGGGACTCACCACATGTTCTCTCTCTGTGTCCCTGGCGTAGAGTTAATGTGGGCTGCGGGCCTGCCGAGGAGCGCGTGCTGCTAACGGGACTGCATGCGGTTGCAGACATTTACTGTGAAAACTGCAAAACCACCCTGGGCTGGAAATATGTAAGTACTGAGGAGTTTGGTGGGTAGAGAGAGGGCTCTGAGGAGAAGAGCTGAGGGCCTTACACTAGAATGCTGTTCTTCCACTTGTTTCCTACGGCCTGTGGTCTTTGACCAGGACAGGAACCTGAGCCCAAAGAGCAGTTCCTGACACTCCTGTCTGCTACACTCATTCTTCCCTTTTCATGATAGTCCCCTCCTGTGACACATTTCTTCCCCCTGCCCCTGAGACACACACACACACGCTTACCTTTCCATTAAACAATAGCACATGGCATTTCCTGACTACTTACTGTATGTTCTGGGCATATGTTATTTTATTTCTTCTTCACAGCATCTCTAAAAGATAAGTCATATTTTAATCCCTGTGTTATGGATGAGGAAACTGAGGCTTAGGTAGGTCAGTAGTATGTCCAGTGTTACCCAGCCACTGCACGGCCAAACCATGGAAAAGAGACCAGGTAGTATTCTGCCCGCAGAGCACATGCTGTCTGATGCCCCAGTGAATGTCCACAGAGCCTCTCTCTTAGGTCCTGGGCCCTGTGCTAGGCACCAACAAACATTATGGTCTTTAATGTCCACTGTCCGATGTAGTCATGGCTGGACTCTGTCAATTGGACATTCATTCCTTCATTGTTTAACTCAAAAAATATGTTTAACGTCTTCTTGGTACCCAGGAAAGTGAGCAGTTCTTTGCCAGGGTGAGAGGAGGTATCTGTGTTCAGTGAAAATGAACTTGTGTTATTGTTGGCACATAGTTGCACAGTGTTCTGCTCTGCTCTGCCATTGTGGGGATATTAAAAAAATGCACTCCTGTCTTTGGGAGGACAGTTTACTCCATGTAAAATGCCCTAAATTCCCTGCCCTGTCAGTTGTACAGGGACAGTGTGGGGCTGGCTCATGCGAACAGTTAGGTAGCTCAACAGTAGTCACAACTGCCCACAGAGTGATAGCATAGGTGTGTTGATTGTAACATATGTACCACTCTGCAGGATTTTGATAGTGGGGTGGTGCAGGAGGTTTTGCATGTGTGGGAGCAGGGAGTGTAGGGGAAGTCTCTGTAATTTCTGGTCCTTTTTTCTGTGAACCTTAAACTCTAAAAATATGAAGCCTATTAAAAAAAAATGTTGAGCAAAAGAAGCCAGACATAAAGGTATGATTCCATTTAAATAAGGTTAAAAAATGCACCAGCTTACAAACCTTATACCACTGCTTTTAGATTTCTCTTTTTCATATCGCCCTTGACATGTTCAGGTGTAGAAAGAAAAATCCTGGACAGTGTTTTTCATGATGCCAGGATGGTTTAGCCACAGCTCCCTGGGGCCACCTTGGTGGTTCCTTGTGGGAAAAGCCATCCTCGGCCGTTATACTCCCCCGCTGTGGTCACTGGCCCCCTCCGAGTAAGCCGGGGGCCACAGATCTGGTTTTGATGATTTAGAAATGGTCTGCCACTTCTCTTTTTCTCAACCTCTTGCCATCTTATTCCATTGAAGAAGTGCAGGATTATGGACAGAAGGCAAATCTGGGTGGGCTGGATTTGCTCCTAACTTCAGGTAAAATGATTCACTCTTTGGTAAAGCTTTATTGAAAGTCTGTGCTGGATACAAAGGGGGATGAGATCCAATCCTTGCCCTCAGGGTGTTTACAATCTGATACCAGGGAGGAAAGCAGGAAACAGATAAAACAGCCTGAAGGTATAGTGATGTGAGCAGGAAAACTGAGAAACGTCTGTCTCCCCACATTACTGATCACCTCTATGCCAGGCCCAGTGCTCCAGTCTTTCATTCCATCATTTTTTCTGCCCCTCACAGTAGCCCTGTGAAGTAAGTGTAATTATCCCAGTTTTGTAAATCAAAAGTTTACAATTTCATAAATTGTAAATGGAAGCTGACTGGTTAAGTGAGACTTCCAATGCTAGGCTGCAATAGAAGCTGGGTTCAGTCTGGGGTGTAGACTCCATATCTCATGCTCTGTGCACCGGAGTCCAGTTGTGACATTCTGCAAGTGCCCTGTGGCTCGGGGCTGCTTTTGTTTTGTTTTTGTTTGGTTTTATTTGTTTGTTTAATGGGGATACACTCTCACTCTCCTGGCTATGTTTTTCCCTCCCCCTCCCCTGAGCAAACTGCTGTGGAACAGTAGGTCTTACTCCCGAACCACATTCCTCTGTTGAGTGCACATCACACAACCCACAGAGCTGAGGAATAATGAGGCTTCAGGGAAATTACTGCTGAGCCCACAGCTCTTGTGTGTGCGTGATGTGTTGGCACTTTCCCTGTTGGTGCCCCTCCTCTCTTCTCTCCTCTCCCTGTTTTGTGGCATGATTGCCCTTTCCCCAAGAGACTCAAGTCTGAACTCTTGTTCTGAAACCCAAAGCCCCTGAGTTCTAGGACAGAAGATACAGTTCATATGAAGGCTGCCCAGAACCTGTGCAGAGTGGGATTTAGTCACTGACGAATTCGGGGGACTCGAGAAAGAGCTCATGTCCGCATCCTCTGCACAGTGAGCTTAGCCCTCCCATCACTCTGAGGACCAGTGTTTCTCAGCTGGCACACCAGGACTTTTACATATGTGTCCACAAGTAAAATACCCTTTGATTCTACACCTATGCAGGTCTTCTTTCTGTGGGGCTCATTAGCTGGGAGAGCCCATAAGGGCTGTACGTTGGGGACTGTAACCTGCTGGGTGGTTTGTGCTGAGTTGTTCTCAGGAGGCCTGGAAGCTGGCAGGGGCTTGAGGGCTGCTGGGTCCTTCAGCCTGGAATTCATGTAGCTTCTTTCTCCCTGGAGAAAGGCAGCAAAACTAAAATGGGCTCAACACATCTGCCATAGAAACACTAAGAAAAGAAATTAAAAGGAGACCTGTCTGGCCTCACAGTACCTTGCCCCTCTGCCTGAGTATCTTGTCTCTAAGCCTAACAAAGTACAGTGTAAAATATGGCAAAAGAAACTTTATGGATATAATCATAGGGCAGATTTCTGGTTAGCATCCGAAACCAAGTTCCCCTAAGATTTTAAGGCTGCATAGGCACTCACTCACACAGCAGTTATATACTGAAGACCTCTCGTGTGTCAGCCAGTCCGCTGGGCACTAGGGTTACAGCAGTGAAGAGAACAAATGAAAATCGCTGCTGCCCAGGAAGTTTGTATTTTAGTAGTGGGAGGTAGACAATACACAAAACAGATGTGCAAGTTATAGTGTTTGCTGGAAAGTGATAAGCACAGTGGAGGAAAATAAAACAAGAAAGCAGAGAGGGAGTGAGTGAAAGTTAGGACCTTAAGTAGAGTAGCTGGGAAAGACCTACTGAGATGGTGACATTTGGACAAAGACTTGAATGAGCAAAGATCCTGAAGAAATTCTATTGTAAATATTTAGAACATTTAAATCCAGAATATTTCAACTTAAAAATATTTCAATTCTGTTGTAAATACTGAGAAAGTTCCAGTGTTTCCTTAGTGCTGTAGTTAAGTGAAGGGGGTATAGTGTGCTTGAGTGGGTGAGTTCTCTTGGTGAGTGTGGGTGAAGCTAGGGCCAGGCTTCAGTGGTCTTGATGCCTGTCATTGGCTTCACCTCTGCCCCTGTCTCAGAAATGTCCGCTGCTTGTCTTTGGTCATTCAGTGTATTTTTTTTTTCTTTGTGTTTTCTAGGAACACGCATTTGAAAGCAGCCAGAAATATAAAGAAGGCAAATACATCATTGAGCTAGCACACATGATCAAGGACAATGGCTGGGACTGATTGGAGCACATCCGTCCAGCCCAGTGTCCACGTGAATGCCATCCAACCGAACATCTACCCAAGCGTGAGGGAGTGACTGAACCCTCGGTTCCATCCATTTAGGGGCCTTGCCATTTGGGGCATTCCCCCTCCCTGACACCGTCTTTCTGGTGACTGGCCTCTAAATTGCTGTCTCTGTCTCTTTGCTTTGTATCTGTTTGTGAGTTGATCCTGGCTTCTCTCTCTGTTCTAGTGTTGGCTGAAAACAAAATAATGAAAGGACAGACTGCATGGCGGCAGCCCACCTTGATAAGGGTCTCAGGGCCCACGTGAGAGCTGCCTGATGGCCTCTTGTCAGGAGAACAGTGGCACAGCATGGGGGTGTGAGGAAGAGGGAAAGGGGGGACCTTAAGAATCCTGGGGGTGGGCAGGGGATGGGAAGGTAGAGGTAGGCACAAAACTGTGCTGCTCCTGGAGCCCCAGTAACTTAGGCTTGAAATAATCAACTTGTCTAAAAGGATGAAGAGAAAAAAAAAATACCTCATGACTGCATTCTCTCTGACCATATGTGCCAGGCCAGCATGTGAGTGCGAGAAGTGGCCCAGATTCCAGCTGGCGGGGCAAGGGCCTGGTTCTCCTGGGCTCAGAGGGAGGGAGGGTATCCTGGAAGCGATGAGTGGCTTGGAAAAAGCCCAGATGGGTTTTGATGGCTCTGGTGCCTCATGCTCCTCTGGGTAATATTCTTCTTGCCTCTTCAGCCACCATAGGTGAGAGGAAAGGGGACAGCCATTTGCAATGGGTGCAAGAGTCAAACATCCCTAAAGTTTTTACCAACAACCAAATAAAAGCAGTAATTGAGCAGAACAGGGAACAAAGAGAATTGCTGTTTGGGAGCTCCTGCAGAAACAGCTCAGATATTGAGCCAGAAAAAATAAAAAGTAGAACCAGTTAGCAATTCTGAGTGTATGACCTTTGTTTTGGACCCTTAATAAGAGAAGAGCATTGTGGCAAGGAAAGGAGTAGGGTGGGGCGATGCCAGGGATAGTTTGGATTTGACCCACTGTGGGATAGGTGTATCTTCTCTGGTATGCAGTGGCTTCAGTGAGGTCAGCAATTCTTTGTACATAGAGTTTTAGGTGTTTTTCTCCAATTTACTGTAGATTGTGGAAAACCAAGTACGAAGGTTTTGAGCTTTAGTGATGACCTGGCTGCTAGACTCCTCGTGCCCCTAGCTCCTTGGACTTGAATGTTTGAGAGAGAGCTGTCAGAGCAGTCCAGCAGCAGGGAGGGCTTAGATTTGGTGTCAAACATCATGTTACAGATTCCAGCATTACCTCCTACCCCCCCCCCCACCCAACTCCACACACCTCACCATCCAAAGTTCACTGTTTGGGAAATGGAGAAAAAATCCCTATAAGGTTCATAAGGGAAAGAAAAATTCATTACATTTTAGTCAACACTGTGAAGTCTGTTCTGCAGCAGTTCAGCCAGTACACGGTGCATGACTGATACTCATTTAACTGAGTTAATTTCATTGCTTAGACTGAAAATAATATTATTGTTAAAATATGTATAGGTTATGTTATGTAATTCTCAGCATCTCAAGTTCCAAGTAGGCTGATTTATTGGAAAGTTCACTCTAAAAGTCATAAAAGAGTTCAGGGAGACAAGCATTATAAAATTGATTAACCAAGATGCAAGCAGCCAACCCAGGACATTTTCAGAATTGAACCAAATTCCCACAGTGGGTGAGTCCATGGTGAAAATGCCTTGTGGCGCCTCTGTGTACTGATGGCAGAGTGGGGACCTGAGCTAGGCGTGGTCCTGGCCTGCCGTGGTGGGCAGCAGGCCCGACTGCAAGCGGGGCAGTTCCGTGTTTACCCGTAGATGGCCTCTGTAAGACAAAAGGATTCTTAGAAATCGAGTTTTGTTCCCAAAATTTTGTTTGGTGCTTTAGTAGCCCTGGGAGATTAAGTTCTCTCCACATTACTAAAAAGCAGACTAAGGTTCAGAAGAAGTATTTCATTTCCACTCTCAGAGAAACAGTTCTTCCGGCTCCCAGGCCCAAGATTTCAATAAACAATATTTTCCACTGTCACATTCCCAAGCTCGCTTGCCAGCATAGAGATCAGAGGTTCCCTTCTCTGTCCCCTGTGAAGGTAGTGGTCTTCATTTATGGATTTTGATTAGCCTTTTTGCTCAGGGAATGTCCTGGCTATTGAAACTCCTTTACGTAGGAAGAAAATAGGGGTTAAATATGGGTAGGTGTTTTGTCTTTAAAACTAAAAATGGAGTGTGGTGACACAGAAATGGGACATGGGTGTCCTGCAGTTTTCAAGGAGCAGCACAGATCAGTGTGCCACTGTTGTCCCTTGGGGATGGGGCCTCCAGTTGTTGCATGGATCAGAGCAGGCTCCAGTTAGACCCTGGTTCTGTTTTTTTCTGATGACTCTCCATTGACCATCTGGTGGGTGCATGGCGCATACTTGGTGGGAGAGACCTGAGTAGAATGTTGGTTTTTCCATGACTACAGGGAAAAAACAACTTACTAGGCTTTCCCTTTGTGTCAGTGAAACCAAAAGTGCTCCTTATAACTTGAGCTCCACTCATGGCTTGTGTATGTACCATCCAGCAGGATCGGAGAGACCACCGCCCCGTGACGGAGACCCATCAACCCATGGCCTCAGTTCATTCTTTAATTTCCTCACCGAATTATTGACTCAAAGCATAACCAAAGACCTCATCCACTCACTCCTGGTAGGTTCAGGGAATTGGAATTTGATGGTAAAGCTTAGACAGAGTGCAGGGAGTCTGGAAGGAGAAAGGGAGAAAGGGGAAGGCATGCAGTTCTATACCTCAGCCAGCAGCTGCCTTCATTTTCAGCTGAAGTCCAGTGGGCAGACTATTTCCATCTCCCCTGTGCCACCCGAGCTCATACGGCCCTGGCGGCCTTGTTCCGCGGGATATTACTCGTCTCAGGCTGCTGATGGGTTGACTTGACAAGAATCAAATATAGCCAAACTTAATGCCCACAGATTGTCGACTGGGCTTGAGTGCTGCCTCAACTCCTGCGACAGTAGTGACATCATGAGACAGAATAGAATGAATCTTTGCTGGTGGATCTGTGTACGAAAAAGAGGTGTCCCCTTTATCAAAAGATTTCCCAGTGGATATATATAAAGGAAACAGTTTCTTGTGAAATATACTTTTGTAAATAATATTTAATTTTTTAAATAATATATTTGGTGCTGTTTTCTCAGATCCCCTGAGAGCACTTTTTATTTTCATTTTTTAATTCTATGGTTTCCTCCACATTTCTTGAAATATATTTTAAGGGAAACAGTGATCACCAATATACTCTTTTTTTTAGAAAAAGATCTCTATCACTTTAATCTGGACAGAGGCAATAAAGTAATGTCTCTCTGCATTTTTCCCCAATGGCACAGACTCTGCAGTACATTACCAGGTTGAGAATTGATATATATTTCTAGCACCAGTATTGGCTAGAAAATAAAATAAAATAAAATTTAGTAACGACTTAGAGGGATTCCTCTTGTGGGAAAATTTCTAACAATTTGGGATCTTGTTTTTTATTTGTGTGTGTGTGTGTGGTACAAAGCACTTTGGGTTGTGCCTCCTGTTTTCTTGTTAATTGAGGACACTATACTACAGTTTACACCTTGGGCACATAAGGTCTTTCTTCTGTGTCTCTCTGGTTGTTTTGTTTCCAAGTGGACCAGCAGCACAAACCACAGGGATTTTGTCATCCTGAGCAGGGAGCCGCTGCTGATTGGTTCCGTTTTCTTTGTGCACTCAACTTTTACAGACTATAAAGGAAATCTGTTGTTCGTGAAGATCAAGCAGAGCCAAGTCTGCATTTCTAACTGAGATGTGAGTGCGCATTCATCATGTTTCCCAGGGTTCCACTTGTGGTAGACGCCACATCATGTTAAACGTTATTAACTGGTTGGGTTGAGAGAGCATGAATAAAATAATGCACATACCTTGTAGGTAAACAGCTTTTTTTTGTTTTTTTAAGGTCAGATTGCCTCAGGTTCAGAAAGAGGCTGGGAAATCAAATCTTGAACACATCAACTTGTATATTTTAAAAAAGAGTCTGCCGCAAAGGAGAAAACATGCTAGTGGTCTAGGTAAAGGAAAGAGACCTTTAATTTTTGAATTAAAATACAGTCATGAAATCTGCCAGCAGTGAAAGGTAAAGCCATGAAGAAACAAGCTGTTGTATTTTTACCAAATTCTATCTGCCCATTTGTTTTGTATAACGTTTTGATTAAAGTAAAACTCCGTTCCCTTTTCCAACCTGCAAGACTATCTTTCAGTACAGAATCTGTCTGTCTGTGCTTGTGTTTACAAACGGTATTTGTTGGGTTTGGGTTTTGTTATTTTCTTTCTTTATCTTTTTTGTTGTTGTTGGTGGTGGCATTTTTCAGGTCACATTGCTTCAATAACAAAGATAATTATTTTCAAATAATTCGTCTTCACCTTTTTCCTGTATTTGTACCTAGTGATTCAATATTAGAGAAAAGTGAATTGTTTCTGTCATGTTTCCAATCTGTGTTGGTGCTCATTTGAGAAAATAAAGTTTTTAAATACTAATTCTTTAGAGGGATCATGTCTTAATTGACCCAGCATATTTTATCTTTACATTGAACTTTGAAAGTAACTAAAAGGTCTGCAGGAGGTCATCTGTCTAACCCCATTCACAGATCTGTCAGCTGAGACCCTGAGGGGTTATTTTTTCCAAGGACAGTTGGCCAATAATGAATAAAAATCATGTCTCCTGCTTATCTACAAATGCTGCTCCTGGCTTTAGATATCAGAAATGCACTTTATTATTTCTGTCTACTAAACCCCATATTTTTAGATTTCTGTTGGAGATAAGATTGCATTGTTGGAGATAAGGTGAAGGGAAAAAATAAGTAAAACAACAAAACTATGTCAAAAAGAGGCAGCATAATCTCTGAATAATTGGTTAACAAAGGAAGGTAAAATTCAGTTATAATACATGGAAATCAACTGTTTTTGCTCACTGAACAAATATTTATTAAACATCTATTAGATTCCAGGCACAGGGTGAGGCAATTCAACCATCCTAATAAATCAGCTGTTTGTTTTCCAAGTACCTTTCCTCCTGTTTTGCCCACATGCACACAGCCTTGCATAGCTAGTCGCTGTAAGTACAGTTTTATATTCTGGTGTCTTTATTTAATGATGAAACATTTTTGCTTAGACATCAATTTATACTATAATTTAAAATACTTTTTCAAAAGCTTGCCTCCATAACTTGAAAGGCTCCCACCTTGCATAGACAACCTAAATGGCAAAGAAAGGATATTAAAACCACACAAGTATGTGTATAGGTTTGTGTTTTCACATTGGTGATGATAGTTTAAAAGCCTATTTCCTAAAAAATAGGAAACACCTTCTCTACTTCCTGTGAATTTTCTGGGCTTGGATACAGTTAACTTTGATATGCCCTTGAGGATATTATCATCTTCCTGCGACCTGTTTTGCTTCAGTGGATATGCCTGTTGGCACTTCATTCTTGGGCAGACAGGGAGGAGAGGAAAGATAACATGTGCCCAAGACAGCTAGTCTCAAACCAGCAGTTCTTGAGTCCTCACCCTTCCAAGTTCTTATCCCCGCAGTGGCTGTCCTGGGGGTCAGGCTGGGAGAAAGTGAGGGGAGAATACTAGTCTTCACTGAAGGTCTAATTTGTGCCAGCCCCTGTGTAAGCCCCTTTGCTTACGCTACCTCGTTGAAGATTCTTGCAATGAGGGCCTTCCTCACATCATCCTAGGAGATCCTCACTGCCCTGTAGGGACACAGTGACAAATGCTGATTATCCCCCATTTTGAAGGTGATGAAATTGAATTTTGCAAGGTTTCATTGCTAGTGACAGGGCCAGGGATCATAGCCTGACTTCACAGTCCTATGCTCTTTACCTGTACTGTGTTCCAAATGTCAGCCTCTCACTCCAGCCTTCTCATTTCTAGTGTGACTACTGGACACTTTCCCAGTCTCACCACTATGACTGTTGATAAAGGGTTGGGGGAATGGAATGCAAATTAGAAAATTAACATAGATAAAGCCACAAAGGTCAATGCTAAACTGAAAAATACTGTGTATTTCATAGCTGAGTATAAACTGGGCTTTGTTGTTTTTTAATACTCTAATGGATTACATTTGTAATCCTTGGCCCCTTGATTAATAGTAGTACTTAATAAATGCTTGGTGAACATTGCATTAATGTGGATGTGGAGAATGAACAGCTTTAAAAAAATATCTGTTTAACATGTTAGTATCCCTAAGGGGAGAATGGAGAAGAGGTTAGCACTGAATGTTCCAACGTATGGTAAATAGTTATACTGTGAGTGCTCAGTTCATCATATGCATTTATTTATTCAACAAGCATTTTTTTTTTATTCTCTACTTCCTGTGAATTTTCTGGGCTTGGATACAGTTAACTTTGATATGCCCTTGAGGATATTATCATCTTCCTGCGACCTGTTTTGCTTCAGTGGATATGCCTGTTGGCACTTCATTCTTGGGCAGACAGGGAGGAGAGGAAAGATAACATGTGCCCAAGACAGCTAGTCTCAAACCAGCAGTTCTTGAGTCCTCACCCTTCCAAGTTCTTATCCCCGCAGTGGCTGTCCTGGGGGTCAGGCTGGGAGAAAGTGAGGGGAGAATACTAGTCTTCACTGAAGGTCTAATTTGTGCCAGCCCCTGTGTAAGCCCCTTTGCTTACGCTACCTCGTTGAAGATTCTTGCAATGAGGGCCTTCCTCACATCATCCTAGGAGATCCTCACTGCCCTGTAGGGACACAGTGACAAATGCTGATTATCCCCCATTTTGAAGGTGATGAAATTGAATTTTGCAAGGTTTCATTGCTAGTGACAGGGCCAGGGATCATAGCCTGACTTCACAGTCCTATGCTCTTTACCTGTACTGTGTTCCAAATGTCAGCCTCTCACTCCAGCCTTCTCATTTCTAGTGTGACTACTGGACACTTTCCCAGTCTCACCACTATGACTGTTGATAAAGGGTTGGGGGAATGGAATGCAAATTAGAAAATTAACATAGATAAAGCCACAAAGGTCAATGCTAAACTGAAAAATACTGTGTATTTCATAGCTGAGTATAAACTGGGCTTTGTTGTTTTTTAATACTCTAATGGATTACATTTGTAATCCTTGGCCCCTTGATTAATAGTAGTACTTAATAAATGCTTGGTGAACATTGCATTAATGTGGATGTGGAGAATGAACAGCTTTAAAAAAATATCTGTTTAACATGTTAGTATCCCTAAGGGGAGAATGGAGAAGAGGTTAGCACTGAATGTTCCAACGTATGGTAAATAGTTATACTGTGAGTGCTCAGTTCATCATATGCATTTATTTATTCAACAAGCATTTTTTTTTTACATATAATATGTACTTCATTTTAGTCAGGAAACTAACCCCAGAGAGCAGAAAATCAGTAGTGCTAATTGTGCAGAGTAGGAGAACAAAGGCTTATGTGTAGCCTACCTATTGTTGGCCAAATATCCAGCCACATCAGCCACCACCCTCACAGGCAGCTGTTTCCTGCAGAAGCAATTGCTCATAAATCCTCTAATCAGAACCTAGAGCAGGGCACAGGGCAAGCTCTGGAGTTAGAGCACCTGGTTTCAAATTCTGGTTTCCCTTAGTTAAAAGGTAATGCACAGAAAGGCTCGGCCCATGGCCTGGCACATAGTAGGGAGTCAGTAATAAAATAATTGTTAACATTACAGATTCCTCAAGTCTATTTTGAATTGGAAATGGGATGAAGAGGACTATTTGCTCTTTATGCACTATTTGTTTAATTTTGCAACAGTCCTATGAAACAAATATCCCTGTTTTATAAGGGAATAAACTGAGGCTCAAAGGGCATAAATAACATGCCCATTGAAGATTTGGGATTTTTTTAACTCTTGTTTTGATTCAGAGGCCCATACCCTGTCTGTGGCCCCAGCCTGCCATTCAGGAAACAGGCATAACTATCAAATAGGAAACTTTCTGGCGGATCTGACCAAGCACACACCCAAAATGTCGTGGCAATTTTGTTCTATCATGTTTTACTTTTCTTTTATGGAATGGAAATCCTGGCTTTTCCATTGAGAACCAAGAGTTTAGAACTGAGTAAGGATTGAGTTGTACTCTGCCTTCATTTTATAGGATTTCAGGCCTATTGATTGCTGTGCTATGATTTTATGCTTATGTTGAGGGGGAGGGGCGAGTGTTGCTTTCAGTTGTTCAGACAGATTTAAAAGATAAAAATCCAAAAACTTTAAGTGACTGAAGTATCCAGCGCATGACAACATTGTGGGGCTATTTGGGGATAATTCTACAGGCCAACTTAGAATAAGCTAAGTATTCGAAGTTCACGCTGCATGAAGATACTTCTAATTCCCCAGTGATATGGGATCATTTTAATGACAGAATAGCTAGAGAAGCTGAACTTTTCAAGGCATTAGGAAATTATTTGGAAACAATGATAGAACAATTGAGCTATATTTATTTTGATTTAAAATGATGTTGATATTTTATCCCAAGCTCAGAAATTAGCAGGGTCAAAGCAGAAAGAAGATTAGCTTTGGAGTTGGACAGATGGGGACTTAAAGCCTGACTGCAGGCCTGTATATTAGCCACTGTGAGGAGATCTCTGCAATTCTCAGGGCTACTTCCTATCACTTACAAATCAGGGATAACATCAACCACTCATAAGTTATTGTGTGGATCAAGTAACAGCCATAATGTGCCCAGCACATTGCCTAGATAAAAAACAGGCCTTAGCAAGTATCACTTGTCTTTTTCTTTGCAGAGTGATTGGAATTCACTGTGATGGGCACTGATAACACATAGGATATTTAGGATCCAACATTCATCCTGTGACCCACATCTGCAAAGGAGACTGACACCCAGTGGGGTGTATGAGTCAGCAACACTTGGTCCTGGGCCTGGTAAGTAGCAGAACTGGAACTGGAACCCAGAGCATCTAGGCAGTCAGGCTAGTTAGTGGTGCCTGCACCACACTACTTGGCTGGTACTTCTAGAGGAGACCGTGTATGTTTATAGAATGGAAAAAGGAGGGGCGTCAGCTAGAAAACATCCTTGCATTTTGGATGCTGTTTAAAATGTTTATAGGAACCGTCTTGGGCGGTCTTCAGTCAAGCCGATGTGCTCGCTCTCCTTGCGCCCTGTTGGATGTGCAGGCTGCACACGGGAGGAGGCAGTGCTCTCAGACTTGCTCGCCTCGGCCTCCCCTGGACTGCTTTCCTCTGATTCTGAGCCGCTTCTCCAGAGCGAGGACACGCAGGCACAGCAACCAAGCAGTTCATCAGGGACGTTTTATTTATAGTTTTAATAATGGAGTCTCTTGGGAAAACTTTGGCTTCCCATTCCCAGAAGCAAAAATTCATCTACAGAATGTTCTTGAAATTTATTAGTTTTTTTTCTTCCTACCACATTCTTTGAGCCACCTCAATAGAGTTTAAATTGTTCCTTCACAAAAGTAGGAGAATTTGAGCTGTCGTTCATTTGGCTGGAATGTTCTGTACCAAGCCAGCACT